GTGTTCAACATGTAAGAAGTAGAAAGTACAGGTATTTGAGTTCAACATGTAGAAGTAGAAAGTACAGGTATTTGAGTTCAACATGAAGAAGTAGAAAGTACAGGTATTTGTGTTCAACATGTAAGAAGTAGAAGTACAGGTATTTGAGTTCACATGAGAGAATAGAAAGTACAGGTATTTGTGTTCAACATGTAAGAAGTAGAAAGTACAGGTATTTGAGTTCAACATGTAAGTAGAAAGTACAGGTATTTGAGTTCAACATGTAAGAAGTAGAAAGTACAGGTATTTGTTTCAACATGTAAGAAGTAGAAAGTACAGGTATTTGAGTTCAACATGTAGAAGTAGAAAGTACAGGTATTTGTGTTCAACATGTAAGAAGTAGAAAGTACAGGTATTTGAGTTCAACATGTAAGAAGTAGAAAGTACAGTATTTGTGTTCAACATGTAAGAAGTAGAAAGTACAAGTATTTGTGTTCAACATGTAGAAGTAGAAAGTACAAGGTATTTTGTGGTCACATGTGAGAAGTAGAAGTACAGGTATTTGTGTTCAACATGTAAGAAGTAGAAAGTACAGGTATTTGTGTTCAACATTGTAAGAAGTAGAAAGTAAGGTATTGAGTTCAGCATGAGAGAAGTAGAAAGTACAGGTATTTGTGTTCACATGTAAGAAGTAGTAGAAAGTACAGGTATTTGAGTTCAAACATGTAAGAAGTAGAAAGTACAGGTATTTGAGTTCAAATGTGTAAGAAGTAGAAAGTACAGGTATTTGGTTCAACATGTGAGAAGTAGAAAGTACAGGATTGGTGTTCAACATGTAAGAAGTAGAAAGTACAGGTATTGTAGTTCAACATGTAAGAAGTTAAGAAAGTACAAGTATTTGTGTTCAACATGTAAGAAGTAGAAAGTACAAGTATTTGTGTTCAAACATGTGAGAAGTAGAAAGTACAGGTATTTGAGTTCAACATGTAAGAAGTAGAAAGTACAGGTATTTGTGTTCAACAGGTTAGAAGTAGAAAGTACAGTATTTGAGTTCCAACATGTAAGAAGTAGAAAGTACAGGTATTTGAGTTCAACATGTAAGAAGTAGCAGAGTACAGGTATTTGAGTTCAACATGTAAGAAGTAGAAAAGTACTAGGTTTATTTGAGTTCCACATGTAAGAAGTCGGAAAGTACAGTGTATTTGAGTTCAACATGTAAGCAAAGTAGAAAGGACCGTTACAAGGTATTTGAGTTCAACATGTGCGAAGTAGAAATTACAGGTATTTGAGTTCAACATGTAAGAAGTAGAAGAGTACATGTATTTGAGTTTCAACATGTAAGAAGATAGAAAGTACAGGTTATTTGGGTTCAACATGTAAGAAGCTAGAAAGTAACGGTATCTTGACGTTCAGCTATGAGGAGACAGTAGAAAGTTACAGGTATTTGAGTTCAACCATGTAAGAAGTAGAAGTACAGGTATTTGAGTTCAACATGTAAGAAGTAGAAAGTACAGGTATTTGAGTTCAACATGAGAGAAGTAGAAGTACAGGTATTTGTGTTCACATGTAAGAAGTAGAAGTACAGGTATTTGAGTTCAACCTGTAAGAAGTAGAAAGTACAGGTATTTGAGTTCAACATGAGAGAAGTAGAAAGTACAGGTATTTGTGTTCAACATGTAAGAAGTAGAAAGTACAGGTATTTGAGTTCAGCATGAGGAGAAGTAGAAAGTACAGTATTTGTGTGTTTCAACATGTCAGAAGTAAGAAAGTACAGGTATTTGAGTTCAACTGTAAGAAGTAGATAAGAAGAAAGTACAGGTATTTGAGTTTCAACTGTAAGAAGTAGAAAGTACAGGTATTTGGAGTTCAACATGTGAGAAGTAGAAAGTACAGGTATTTGTGTTCAACATGTAAGAAGTAGAAAGTACAGGTATTTGATTCAACATGTAAGAAGTAGAAAGTACAAGTATTTGTGTTCAACATTGTAAGAAGTAGAAAGTACAGTATTTGTGTTCAACATGTGAGAAGTAGAAAGTACAGGTATTTGAGTTCAACATGTAAGAAGTAGAAAGTACAGGTATTTGTGTTCAACATGTAGGAAGTGAAAGACAGGTATTTGTCGTTTAAACATGTAAGAAGTAGAAAGTACAGGTATTTGAGTTCAACATGTAAGAAGTAGAAAGTACAGGTATTTGAGGTTCAACATGTAAGAAGTAGAAAGTACAGGTATTTGAGTTCAAACATGTAGAGAAGTAGAAGTACAGGTATTTGAGTTCAACATGTAGAGAAGTAGAAAGTACAGGTATTTGAGTTCAACATGTAAGAAGTAGAAAAGTACAAGTATTTGTGTTCAACATGTAAGAAGTAGAAAGTACAGGTATTTGAGTTCCAACATGAGAGAAGTAGAAAGTACAGGTATTTGAGTTCAACATGTAAGAAGTAGAAAGTACAAGTATTTGTGTTCAACATGTGAGAAGTAGAAAGTACAGGTATTTGAGTTCAACATGTAAGAAGTAGAAAGTACAGGTATTTGAGTTCAACATGTAAGAAGTAGAAAGTACAGGTATTTGAGTTCAACATGTAAGAAGTAGAAAGTACAGGTATTTGTGTTCAACATGTAAGAAGTAGAAGTACAGGTATTTGAGTTCAACATGTAAGAAGTAGAAAGTACAGGTATTGAGTTCAACATGTAAGAAGTAGAAAGTACAGGTATTTGTGTTCAACATGTGAGAAGTAGAAAGTACAGGTATTTGAGTTCAACATGTGAGAAGTAGAAAGTACAGGTATTTGGGTTCAACATGTAAGAAGAAGAAAGTACAGGTATTTGAGTTCAACATGTAAGAAGTAGAAAGTACAGGTATTTGTGTTCAACATGTAAGTAGAAAGTACAGGTATTTGAGTTCAACATGTAAGAAGTAGAAAGTACAGGTATTTGTGTTCAACATGTAGAAGTAGAAAGTACAGGTATTTGAGTTCAACATGTAAGAAGTAGAAAGTACAGGTATTTGGTTCAACATGTAAGAAGTAGAAAGTACAGGTATTTGAGTTCAACATGTAAGAAGTAGAAAGTACAGGTATTTGTGTTCAACATGTGAGAAGTAGAAAGTACAGGTATTTGAGTTCAACATGTAAGAAGTAGAAAGTACAGGTATTTGAGTTCAACAGTAAGAAGTAGAAAGTACAGGTATTTGTTGTTCAACATGTGAGAAGTAGAAAGTACAGGTTATTTGAGTTCAACATGTGAGAAGTAGAAAGTACAGGTATTTGGGTTCAACATGTAAGAGTAGAAAGTACGGTATTTGTGTTCAACATGTAAGAGAGTAGAAAGTACAGGTATTTTGGGTTCAACATGTAAGAAGTAGAAAGTACAGGGTATTTGGGTTCACACATGTAAGAAGTAGAAGTAAAGTACAGGTATTTGGTTCAACATGTAAGAAAGAGAAAGTACAGGTATTTAGTGTTCACCCATGTAAGAGTAGAAACGTACAGGTATTTGGTTTTCAACATGTAAGAAAGTAGAAAGTACAGGATTTGAGTTCAACATGTAAGAAGTAAGAAAGTACAGGTATTTGGTGTTTCAACATGTAAGAAGTAGAAAGTACAGGTATTTGGGTTCAACATGTAGAAGTAGAAAGTACAGGTATTTGGTTCAACATGTGAGAAGTAGAAAGTACAGGTATTTGAGTTCACATGTAAGAAGTAGAAAGTACAGGTATGTGTGTTCAACAACATGTAAGAAGTAGAATACGGTAATTTGGGTTCAACATGGGAGAAGTAAAAGTACAGGTATTTGTGTTAAACATGAGAGAAGTAGAAGTACAGGTATTTGTGTTCAACATGTAAGAAGTAGAAAGTACAGTATTTGAGTTCAACATGTGAGAAGTAGAAAGTACAGGTATTTGTGGTTCAACATGTGAGAAGTAGAAGTACAGGTATTTGGGTTCAACATGTAAGAAGTAGAAAGTAAGGTATTTGGGTTCTCAACCATGTAAGAAGTAGAAAGTACAGGTATTTTAGTTCAACATGTAGAAGTAGAAAGTACAGGTATTTGAGTTCAACATGTAAGAAGTTAGAAGAGTACAGGTATTTGAGTTCAACATGTAAGAAGTAGAAAGTACAGGTATTTGTGTTCAACATGTGAGAAGTAGAAAGTACAGGTATTTGGGGTCTTCACATGTGAGAAGTAGAAGTACAGGTTTTTTAGTTCAACATGTGAGAAGTAGAAAGTACAGGCATTTGAGTTCAACATGTAAGAAGTAGAAAGTACCAGGTATTTGTGTTCAACATGTAAGAAGTAGAAAGTACAGGTATTTGGGTTTCAACATGTAAGAAGTAGAAAGTACAGGTATTTGTGTCAACATGTAAGAAGTAGAAAGTACAGGTATTTGGGTTCAACATGTAAGAAGTAGAAAGTACAGGGTATTTGAGTTCAACATGTAAGAAGTAGAAAGTACAGGTATTTGAGTTCAACATGTAAGAAGTAGAAAGTACAGGTATTTGAGTTCAACATGTGAGAAGTAGAAAGTACAGGTATTTGGGTTCAACATGTAAGAAGTAGAAAGTACAGGTATTTGAGTTCAACATGTAAGAAGTAGAAAGTACAGGTATTTGAGTTCAACATGTAAGAAGTAGAAAGTACAGGTATTTGAGTTCAACATGTGAGAAGTAGAAAGTACAGGTATTTGAGTTCAACATGTAAGAAGTAGAAAAGTACAGGTATTTGAGTTCAACATGTGAGAAGTAGAAAGTACAGGTATTTGGGTTCAACATGTAAGAAGTAGAAAGTACAGGTATTTGAGTTCAACATGTAAGAAGTAGAAAGTACAGGTATTTGAGTTCAACATGTAAGAAGTAGAAAGTACAGGTCTTTGTGTTCAACATGTAAGAAGTCAAAGTAAAAAGTCGTGTAGTGGAGTAAAGTACTGATACCAGAACAATGTACTTAAGTACAGTTACAGAGTATTTGTACTCCATTACTTCCAACCTCTGATAGTTGATGGTTTTGTTCGAGGGTTTCTCACCTGGCAGGTTTCACTGGGCAGGAGGAAAGGACTGATCAGGTCTGCAGAGGTTCTGTTTCCAGGTGAAAGGGACAGGAAGTGAGCTGAAAGAGAGGGAGACGTGGATTTGAAGATATGCAGAAGTATAAGGTTCATGTGTTGAGTTTAAATAGATGTATAGTGTCCCTAATGTCCCACCTGATGTGTTTGTGTGGTCGTGTTTGAGTCCAGGAGCCTCAGTAGTTCTGATCCATCTGGACTCTGAGCTCTGCATCAAGTCACAGAATCCATCTTCAAAGTCACACCTCTTATATCCAGAGCCTACAACCACAAAGAAGACATGCTTCAGCCTCGTGCTATCTTCCTACCTCTAAATGAGTCAAAGTGTTACATTTCCATGCAATATCTCATCAAATTGACATTCCAGTCCGCTGCAAAACACCTGCCTATACAATAACTAACCTCATAACATGCTCCAGATTAAAGATTCTGTAAATAAAGCATCATATTAGGCAGGGATTTTAGCCTCTGCAGACCATTGACATGCACTAAAACACACTACAGGAGAGAGAACACCCCAACAAACATAATACGGCCGCTTTAAGATGTGGTTTCTGCACACAACAAAGTAACATCATCTCTTCAGAGCGTTATATTATCACTGATGCAACACAGAAGAAGAACCAGGATCTTATACTTAAAGCAATAATACAGATAGATTTACCTGAAAAGATCGACTTAAATAAATGTATTTAGTTAATTTCCACCACTAGTATATAACTTATAACTTCATATGTTATGATATATAAGGCATTGAATATTCTCACAGAAGCATGTTGTAATGAATGCATTTCAGTATATACACACAGTACAGAAGTATAACATGTACTTTAGGTATCAAAAGTAAAAGTACTATTACTATTATCATGTTTTTTTACATGTAAGAGCCTTTTAGCATTGTGGTTTGACTACATTTAGATACTTGAAATACTGCTTTGAATAGTATTTCAGTACTCTTTTACACCATATCAGCAAATCATGTGTTTTTATATGAACAAAAGGTGCTTTTTGCCTCTGAAATATAGTAGAACGACACTGGTGTTTGCTATATATACATATATACATGATAATGCAATTTATAACTAAGTCTTGACTTGTGTATCAGGTTGTTCACTCTGAATATGGATTTGTGAAGTTATAGGTGTAGGAGGTACTTTAAGACACCTGTAGAGATAATCAAGTCTCAAAGTCAGTTTAAAATCTGACAAAATCCATATTACTCACAGTTTTCCTCATCGCTGTAATCTCCACAGTCGTCAGTGAAGTCACACCACACTTCCCTCGGGACACACAGATCCTGAGAGCAGCTGAAACTCCTGAGCTGAACACACTGCGTCACACACTGGGGTCAGAGACACCAGAGAAAAGGACAGCAAACAGCCACAGAAGCGTCATCTTACTGTGTGTCCTTTAACTACAGCACATCCTCCTCTGAGGGAAGCATGTTGTTCTTAAGATAGAAGCAGCTTCAGTCGAGGTGCAGCTCGTCTTCAACGTGTACGAGTAGCTTAGGAGCTGTTAGCATGTTGTAAAAGGTAATCAATGGCTTTTATGGCTGTTACTCAATAAGGTCACTGTGTGCTCATTCTCTGAGAGGCTGGACTGAGGCTATTAGCTTTATGCTAACATGCTAACAGCTCCTGCTTAGCTCCTATAATGTGTTTAACATACGAGTTCAACATGCTAACATAGATCATTCTTGCACTATTTCTATTCTATTTTATTTGTATTTACATTTTTGCACATCTCAAAACATCCTCTTGCACTATTTTATCTGTTGTATTTGTTCCATGTCCTATTCATGTTGCTCTGTTGGAGAAGATCTTCATTGACATATCTTCTCTGCTGCTGTGCAAATGACAACAAAGCCTTGAAAGGTGTTGAGTTATTTAAATGTGGTTCTTAGACAGACTATTAGCATGGCTACAAACCAGGTTTATACTCTGATAGATTCCTGTGTATTTTCATAATAACCACTTCTAGGAAACACCTACATCAATTGGAGAACTCTGACCATCTGTATGTGAAGAGGCTGCAGTTAGCCCTGTTTCCATCCCGATAAATCACATTACCTCTAACTGTGTGTGTGTGTGTTGTGTGTGTGTGTGTGTGTGTGTGTGTGTGTGTGTGTGTATGTGTGGGTGTGTGTGTGTGTGTGTGTGTGTGTGTGTGTTGTGTGTGTGTGTGTGTGTGTGTGTGTGTGTCGATCCCACACCACAGAGGCATCATTTCATTTCACAGCAATCAATAAACACAAGGACCTTAAGAACAGAGAAGCTACAAGAGCTGGGGAGGTTCAAATTAAATGAATTTTGAAGGGGCGAGGGAACAAGGATAAGATCACGTCTGTATCGACCTCTGTTGGCAGCGGCAGTGGGAGGAAAGTAGAAAGTGTTTAAGCAGAATGTCCTGTTTTTATTACAGAGCAACGATGCACATGGAGGCACTGACAGACTCATTATTTAAATTAACATGTGACAGGAATTCATTCTGTAATAGCAAACGCCTCATTACCAACAAGCCAATGTGGAAGTTATTAGCTCACAATGCTAACATGCTAAAGCTACTGTCCCACAACTCTCAGGTTGAGGGACCCTCCTTTCCCAACTTCAGCAAGGAAGACCCCCATGACTATGGTTGGAGTCGGGAGGCCTGTTAATTTATTCCGGCAATAACTCAGACCTACTAATTGACCTACCAGAAGCTATTGATTCTAAGTTTACTGCTCGACTCAGATCCACCAACGTCAGCAAGATATCACCTCTATTACAGTGGCGAGCCGTCAGGGCCCTCTAGGCCCTCTGTGAGGGCCTAAGATATTCTAAAAAATAATATTGGAAAACATAACAAAAAACATTATTTTAAAAATATATTTTGTTGTTGTTAAATGTTTCATTAGTTTTACCAAAATAACTTGATTTAATTGTATTTAAAATAACATTTCCAAATAAATAAATCCTTCGAATCTGCCTGTTCAGTTTCTGTTGGAATGTGAAGGGTTAAATGCCGTCTCTGCGAGATACTGTGAAGACGGGAGAGCTTGTTGGTCCTTCTCTACATTCATAGAGGGCAAGCCCCCAGGAAGTGCGCCGGAGTCTGATGAAAATATTCATGCTGGTCAAACGGCGGTACTACACTTCCTTTAGGTTGCTGGGCCCGGAAGCACTTTTTCCCATTGACTTACATTGGGAAAGAGTGGTCTGTAACTCGTTGGATAATTTTTTTTAAACTAAATAAACAACCCAGTATGAACACTTGTATAGCCCTTATTAAAAACATTCGTTCCTCAAGTTGTAAAAATTTGCTAATAACATTATTCTGAGAGTTATTTCCCTCGGCATTATGAACGCGCATCTAACCCACGGGCCCGCGCCGCCCGGCACGTTCAAGTTACGTGTTCAGTACTACATGAGTTTCTCTTTACCCATGGATGCACAATAACAACGGACCCATATCGCCTTACTGCCACGGAGCTGTAATAATGGATATATTGCACATGTTTGCTGTAATTCATCATTTGTAAAATATTATACTACATGGGCTGTATGATGTAAATCTTGTACCGTAAATGTTGTATTAAATAAAGTTAATATTACCGACGTAGATTAACGTTCCTGTAGCTTCTTATTAGGGTCTGAGACCTAGGTCGGCGAAGACCCTATTGAAATCGGTCGCGAAGCAACCGATAAACCTGCGAAAAACACCCAAAAACAGGGAAATCGACCGGCAAAAGCACAGAAAAGGTTCGGAAATCATGACGGCTGATAGGCCGCGTGAGCCCAGTCACGTGGGCGGAGCAGTCACGCGGAGCCCACGTGACTGCAATTCGCATAATTGATATCGTTACGATCAATGTAGTCGCTCGCGAAGCGACCGATAACCATGCAAAACCCACCGAAAACAGGGAAAAAGAGGGGCAAAACCCCATTAAAAATGGCCGACATCACCCACCTCACTGTAGGCCGTACGGGCATGATGTTAAATCGAACAAGATTGAGATTGGACCGATTATTCATTATGATTATTATTTTAGAACATTTAACGCACTTTTGACCCCCGCAACATATGTGAAAACTCACCAAATGTTGCACGCGCGTCAGAAGTGGTGAAAATTGCGATGTGTAATTGGTTCCGAAACTTTGCGTACAAAATTGCGTAGGCCACGCCCACTTCCGTTTTTAACGTAAACTCCCCCTACTTTAACTTTCACGTAAACGAACGAAACTCGCTACGCATATCTAGGATGCGGAGACGAACCAAAAAGCCTCTTGGAGGGGTATAAAATAACGTACAGGAAGTCGGCCATTTTGAATTTTGTGTCCTCCGTACAAAATCTATCTTCTCCCAGGGACTTTATCCGTACGACTCGAAATTGGTCGGGTAGCTTCGCGAGACATGGGCAATCTAAAGTTATCACAGAAGTTTTTTTCTTTCGCACGGCGTAGCCGTTATTTGTCGCCAAAGTTCGCGTTTGCTCGATTTTAGGCGGTCCCTCGCCATGGAACACGATGATGTCATAACTCAAACTGACATACTCAGAACGCCACCAAACTTCACATGATGGTTAACACTACAGCCCTGAACAGCTCTAGGTCAAATCTGACATTACTTAATTTGGCGTTACCATGGCGACGGATCCTTCGCCATAAACAACGTTGTCGCTGTAACTCCAATGGACACGGTCCCATCGTCCCCCAATCTTCACTTTTATATCACCGGTCCATGCCTCAACAGCTCTACGTGACATCTGAAATCTCACCGTATGCCGTTTCCATGGCAACGCATCCTTCGCAAAAAAAAAACGATGTTGTTGTAATTCAATGGAAAATCTTCCAAACGCTACCAGACTTCATATGATGGCTCCTAGTCCAGCCCTCAACAGCTCTATGCAAATTATGGGATGTCATCATATGTCGTTGCCATGGCAACGCCTCCCTCGCCAAAAAAACCTGGTGTTGTTGTAATTCAATGGAAAATCGTCCAAACAGCACCAGACTTCACATGACGGTTAATGCTCCGGCCCTCAACAGCTCTATGCAAATTATGGGATGTCATCATATGTCGTTGCCATGGCAACGCATCCTTCGCCAAAACATACCATGTTGCTGTAATTCAATGGAGAATTGTCCAAACAGCACCACACTTCAGACTATCATTAATGGTCCGGCCCTCAACAGCTCTATGTCAATTATGGGATGTCATCATATGCTGTTGCCATGGCAACGCCTCCCTCGCCAAATAACCTGGTGTTGTTGTATTTCAATGGAAAATCTTCCAAACGCCACCAGACTTCATATGATGGCTCCTAGTCCGGCCCTCAACAGCTCTATGTCAATTATGGGATGTCCTCACATGCCGTTGCCATGGCAACGCGTCCCTCGCCAAAAAACCTGATGTTGTCCTAATTCAATGGAAAATGGTCCAAACTGCACCAGACTTCCCATGACAGTTCATGCTCTGGCCCTCAACAGCTCTATGCAAATTATGGGATGTCATCATATGTCGTTGCCATGACAACGCATCGTTCACCAAAATATACCATGTTGTTGTAATTCAATGGAAACAATTCCAAACACCACCAGACTTCAGACTATCATTAATGGTCCGGCCCTCAACAGCTCTATGTCAATTATGGGATGTCATTATATGCCGTTTCCATGGCAACGCGTCCCTCGCCATGAAACACGGTGTTGTCCTAATTCAATGGAAAAACGTCCAAACACCACCACACTTCAGACTATCATTAATGGTCCGGCCCTCAACAGCTATATGTCAATTATGGGATGTCATCATATGCCGTTTCCATGGCAACGCGTCCCTCGCCAATAAACCTGGTGTCGTCGTAATTCAATGGAAAATCTTCCAAACGGCACCAGACTTCAGACTATCATTAATGGTCCGGCCCTCAACAGCTCTATGTCAATTATGGGATGTCATCATATGCCGTTTCCATGGCAACGCGTCCCTCGCCAAAAAACCTGATGTTGTCCTAATTCAATGGAAAATGGTCCAAACTGCACCAGACTTCAGATGACAGTTAATGGTCCGGCCCTCAACACCTCAATATGACAATAGTGAGTTTTCCTCAAAATATGTTGCCATGGCAACACACCCCTCGCCGTTAAGCACCATATTGCTATAAGTCCTGTGTAAATGATCAAAAAAATTCAAACTTCACATGTGTGCTAACCGTCAAGCCCTCCAGATATATATGTGTCAGTTTTGAGATTACGTCAAATGTCATTGCTATGGTAACAAAATGGTCGCCGTGAAATACGGTTTTCTCATAACTCCAGTTAACAGCCTCCAAACGGCACAAAACTTCACAGGTTTGATAATGAT